GCATAATACTGGGGTCAGGAGGGAACAGTACAGGGGGCAGCAGAGCATAATACTGGGGTCAAGAGGGAACAGTATGGGGGGGCAGCAGGGCATAATACTGGGGTCAAGAGGGAATAGTACATGGGTAGTCGCAGGGCATAATACTGGGGTCGGGAAGGCACGGTACAGGGATAGTCGCAGGGCATAATACTGGGTTCAGGAAGGCACAGTACAGGGGTAGTCACAGGGCACAATACTGGGGTCAAGAGGGAACAGTACAGGGGTAGTCACAGGGCATAATACTGGGGTCAAGAGGGAACAGTACAGGGGGGCAGCAGGGCATAATACTGGGGTTGGGAAGGCACAGTACAGGGGTAGTCACAGGGCACAATACTGGGGTCAAGAGGGAACAGTACAGGGGGGCAGCAGGGCATAATACTGGGGTTGAGAAGGCATGGTACAGGGGTAGTCACAGGGCATAATACCGGGGTCAGGAGGGCACAGTACAGGGATTAGTAGTCGTTAGTGCAAAGGTGGTTTCCTCGTGAAGAGCAGCGCAGGGAAGCTGCTGTACGTATTCAGGTGCATTGATCCTGCCGATCCTCCACCCTCACTCTCTAGCCCTCCTTGTCTGGGATGGACAGGAGAGCAGGGCCATCAGGAAACAGGGGAAGAACAATTAAGTATGCTGCTTCCCTGTGCTGCTTTGCAGTGGGAGGAGGAGATGGAGGGTCATTCAGGTAGGAATGTGATCCACCCATCACCTGCCTGCGATGGATGGGTAGGTCGCGGCAGAAGCCCAGTTAACAAACCCTGGTCTGGGTGTTACAGTATAGGCAGAATGACTTACCTTACACCCCAGCACTCCCCTCCTCTGCCTGAAGCTCTCATCTATGAGCAGAGCCTCAGCATCATCACATACAACACATGGACATTAACCCTGTACTGTATGCCGAGGAGGCTGGAGTGTGACCAGTGCCGTGTGCAGGCTGCCGTGGACGGGTTACGGTGCTGAAGGGACCCTGCTGGAGTGAGGGAGGAGGTAAGTATTTACAACTTATTATTTGCACCCCCTATCCATAAGAAGCATTTAACCCTTACAGTGTGTGTGTGGGGGGGGGGGGGGGGGCGGCTATGGCAAGGACAAATGTTTTTTTAATTCCTGGAGTTAGACTTTAAAGCTTACTATTACACTGGAAATATTGTTGTGAAGTATTACAGTGCAGTGGAGCCAAAATATGTGATGTCAGAAATAGGATCTGCTGCGTTTTGCATTCTAAAGCAGGCCAAAGATAAATCGAATCTTAGCTGATTCAGTAGGAACCGGACGAGATTTGATCCATCTATGGGCAGGCTGATTGTACCCAAGTCGATCCATTGATCTAATTGGGTACAACCAGCCAGCTGGATTTTTAACATGCAATTACTGCTGGCAGCTACACCCGCTAGTAGTAATCATTGTGTTCTGCTGGCCAGGAAGACTCCCTGTGCACCGCCCCCAGCAGAACACAATAGCACTGTGGGAGGCATGAACACAGTCAGTGTTGATGGGGGAATTGAAGGAAAAGAAAATCGATTCATCTATGGCTTGACTCTGGATTACTAGCTTGCTATGTCTAGGGATTAAAGTACAGTCCGCAGTACTGACCTTACACCCCTACTCCACTTACTACTACACTGGAAATACTGCTGTGAAGTATTACAGTGCAGTGGATCCAAATTTGCAACAGGGCCCCCAGTAAAGTGTATGTGATGTCAAAAATAGGATCTGGTGCATTTTGCATTCTAAAGCAGGCCAAAGATAAATCGAATCTCAGCTGGTTCAGCAGGACCCGACAAGATTTGATCCATGTGCGGGCAGGCTGATTGTACCCAAGTCAATCCATTGATCTAATTGGGTACAACCAGCCTGTTGGATTTTTAACATGCAATTACTGCTGGCAGCTATAGCCACTAGTAGTAATCATTGTGTTCTGCCGGCCAGGAAGACTCCCTGTGCACCCCCCCCCCCCCCCCAGCATTGTGGGAGGCATGAACACAGTCAGTGTTGATGGGGGAATTGAAGGAAAAGAAAATCGATTCATCTATGGCTGTGACTGTAGTGAGTCCGAGTCTCTTCACAAATATACAGCTTTTTGAAGTTTCCGCCTCTCGGGAAGGTGCAAATGACTTCTGGACCTTGTATCTGTCACACATTCTGCCATTCCCCTGGCATTATGAGCAGCAGAGTGACTTAGTGGTTAGCACTCCTGCCTTGCATTATGGGTTCTTTGGTCCGGTTCCCAGCCAGGACATCTGCATGGAGTCTGCATGTTCTCTCCCTTATGCTTGCATTGCTTTCTTCTGGTTTTCCCACATTGCAAAGACATGTTGGTAGGTTAATTGGCTCCTGGCAGTAATAGGGTCGTTGGTTTGAATCCCAACCACGGCACCACCTGCCTAGAGTTTGCATGTTCTCCCTGTGCCTGCGTGGGTTTCCTCCGGGTACTCCGGTTTCCTCCCACACTCCAAAGACATGTTGATAGGTGAATTGGCTCCTGTCTAAATCTTCCCTTGTATGTGTATGTATGAATGTAAGTTAGGGACCTTAGATTGTACGCCCCTTGAGGGTTAGGGACTGATGTGAATGTACAATATATATGTAAAGAGCTGCGTAAATTGACGGCGCTATATAACTACCTGAAATAAATAATTGTCTGAATTGGCCCTAGTATGTCTGTATGTAGGTGAGCCGGGAACCTTAGATTGTAAGCTCGTTGATGGCAGTGATTGATATGAATGTAAATTGTTGGTGATAAATAAATAAATGTAATCAATGAGCTGCTTATTCCAGGTCTTCTGATGTAGAACACGGCGTTGTCTGTTGACGTGTGTGAAAGGTCATGCCGTGTGCCAGTCTGTTGGGGTTACATGTGTCCTCTCAGTGTGAATCTCTTTGCACATCCATTGATCTCCCCCCCCCTCATCCCGCCACACTCCTGCCCTCCACATCCTCCCTGCAGTAGCAGCCGCAACACTGGCAGCTCGGAGAGGAGTATAACCATGACAACAGCTCGGCCAATCACAGCACGGCGTTCCAGCACGTTCAGAATACCTCCACAGCTAAGGTAGCGGGGTCTCCGAGCTGCTGGAGGATGTAGTAACCCCCGCAGTGCTGGACTGCTGGGAAAGATGACTGATTAAACATTCGCTGCACATCCAGCCGCCGCTGAGCGCATGTGCGCAATCACAGACATGCAAATGACACATTTGTGTCTGACTTTTCTTTGCCAAGACATTGCTATTCCTCTCCCGACTACAGAATCAGATGATGACTATTAGAAAGAGACGGCTCAGGCTGAGCTAGCAGTGATCCCGAGGAAAGTTCTAAACTTCCTACTGTAGGGGATAACAAGACTGCGAGGAACGAGCCGGACCGCCGGCATCAGGCTGATGGAGGACAAAGCTTACATAGACAATTCATTTGGGGAAAGCAACCTGATAATCTCTTTTCTTCTCCCAGTACAGGGAAAGCAAGAATCACATTGGCTTCCAGAGGCAACACAGACAGTCTAAAGCCAGCCATACATGGAACGAACTTCGGCCGGTTCAGCAGGGACCAGCTGAGATTTGATCCATGTATGGGTAGGCTGATTGTACCCAAGTCGATCTATCAATCAACTTGGGTACAACCAGCATGTCGGATTTTTTTACATGTGGTGGAAGGAAAGAAAACCGAATCATCTATGGGCTGCCTTAGACTGTCAGATACATGGAGTCCAGCCACACCTGTCAGTACCACTGAGCTGAGCTGCTGCATTCTACTGGAGATTCATGGGTATACACTATCTAAGGCCTCATTCACACGGGCATACCTATCCATATACCTGTTTGAAGGGTTGTCTTTGCCTGGACAGGATGCAATAGACATGAATGGGAATGCCTGCACACGGATACATGGAGCTAACACAGCCACTGGTCCCAAATTGGCAGCCATGCATGTGCAGATGCATGTCCCCGAACACATGAACACAAGCAGTATGCATTCAAAGACACAAACCCACACAGTTGTCAAATTGGGACCAATGGCTGTTTTCCAAAAGACATGAATGGGACTACCTGTACATGGATATGAACTAGGCACAACCACTAGTCCCAATCTAGCAGCCATGCATTCAAAGACACAAACCCATATGGCTGTCAAATTGGGATCAGTGGCTGTTTCCCAAAAGACATGAATGGGATTGCCTACACATGGATATGGACTGGGCACAACCATTGGTCCCAATCTGGCAGCCGTGCAGATGCATGTCCCCGAACATATGAACACAAGCAGTATGCATTCAAAGACACACACCCACAATGGTAGTCAAATTGGGATCAGTGGCTGTTTCCCAAAAGACATGAATGGGACTGCCTGCACATGGATATGGACTGGGCACAACCACTGGTCCCAATCTGGCAGCCATGCATGTGCAGGAGCATGTCCCCGAACACATGAACAAAAGCAGGGTGCATTCAGAGACGCACACCTACAACGGTTGTCAAATTGGAACTAGTGGCTGTTTCCCAAAAGACATGACCGAGACTGCCTGTACAAGGATACATAGAACAGGCACAGCCAAAACTCAATGAATGGGACTGCCTGCATGCGGTTGCACAGAACACCTGTGCATCCCAGGAGGGCAAAGATGGCCCTGCGCATGGTTATATAGATAGGTATGCTCATGTGACTTAGTCCTTAGATGTCAGGTGAGTGTGGAGCAGTGTAAGGCTACATTCACATGAGTGTTTTCCCATGGTAAATCCCAGAAGCAGGAATCTACTGATTCCTGCTGCTGGGTGTGACAACTGTGACAGGCTGTTAGTGGCTGTCATGGCTCTTCACACAGCCAGCTATTACCTGCAAAAGGCTGTAGAGTGGACAGGAAATGCCTATTATAACTTTTTCAGACCTTGTCTTTTCCAATCCTGTTATCCCAAGCTTTCCTGAATAGTCCCCCCCCCAACCTATAATTCCCGTAGAGAATGGTGAATGGTACCTGGGAGGGGCTCGTGGCGGCTGCTGGGCTGGGTTTGTTGGAGCGTTATTCCGGGCGCCGTCCTGACAGCCACACACACAGCTCCCCAGGGCCTGCAGGGGAAAGACTTCTTCAGAGCTGCTGAAAGCCGGATTGTCCAGAGAGTTGATGGAGGCCGAGGTTGTAAGCCACGTCTGAGAGGGACACCAGAAATGAGTGGGGACGTCATCAAATCTGCTGAATCTCCTGTAGCTGAGAACAGACACAGTGTCAAAGTCAACTTAGATCTTCTTAAAGTGACCTTCCCATTGGCTCATGCAGAAAAAAGTAAAAAGGATCAGTTACCACCCACCACCACCACCCGCAGCATCATATACTCACCTTTCTTTACTCGCCAATGTTGCGTTTGGTTTCTGGGACTCGGGAAAGAAAACCCTGTGAAAACCGGGGAGTCAGCAAACCCGTAGGTGACGATCTACTAGTAGATCTCGGCCAGGTGACTGGTGGATCGCGGTCTGAGCTTGCTGACCCGCCATCCCAGAGCATCAGAGTGCAATGCAGAGGGACTACTTGTGAAACTGAAGCGGTAGAAGGGAGCATGAGCCGAATAAGTCGATGCCTCCTCTGTAGTGCCGGCTCCTGTCCCATGCGGAGTGATACCAACTGCACTCCACCTCTTATCCCGGCTAGCAGTCTCCAGAGTGGGGCCAGCAGCAGGAAATAAGAGATCTTCAGGTCAGTGTGAAGCAATACACTGGTCATAATAGTATAGGTCTGCTTTCACACTGAGGCGCTGCGGTTTACCCACACCGAGTGCAGTGCAGTATACCTGCGGCTTTCCTGCAAGTTTGCTGCGCTTAGCCATGGACTTTTATTATATCCTGCAGGTTTGGTGCATTTTCTGAAAGTGCATCACTTGTGCAGGATATAATAGAAGTCTAAAGCAAAGCGCAGAGAACCATGGAAAGTCGCAGTCGCAGCAGGAGTTACAATGCCTTGAAAAATATTCATACCCCTTGAAATACAACCAAACACGTAAAAATATTTTAGTGGGGTTTTATGTGATAGACCAACACAAAGTGGCACATAATTGTGAAGTGGAAGGAAAATGACAAATGGTTTTCACAATTTGTTACAAATAGATATTTGAAAAGTGTGGCGTGCATTTATATTCAGCCCCCTTTACTCTGATACCCCTAACTAATATCTAGTGGAACCAATTGCCTTCAGAAGTTACCTAATTAGTAAATAGAGTCCACCTGTGTGTAATTTAATCGAAGTATAAATACAGCTGTTCTGTGAAGCCTTCAGAGGTTTGTTAGAGAACATTAGTGAACAAACACAATCATGAAGGTCAAGGAACACACCAGACAGGTCAGGGATGAAGTTGTGGGGAAGTTTAAAGCAGGGTTAGGTTATAAAAAAAAATATCCCAAGCTTTGAACATCTCATGGAGAACAGTTTGAAAATGGAAATTGTATGGCACAACTGCAAACCTACCAAGACATGGCTGTCCACCTAAACTAACAGGCCGGGCAAGGAGAGCATTAATCAGAGAAGCAGCCAAGAGGCCCATGGTAACTCTGGAGGAGCTTCAGAGATCCACAGCTCAGGTGGGAGAATCTGTCCACAGGACAACTATTAGTTGTGCACTCCACAAATCTGGCCTTTATGGAAGAGTGGCAAGAAGAAAGCCATTGTTGAAAGAAAGCCGTACGAAGTCCTGCTTGCAGTTTTCTAGAAGCCATGTGGGGGACACAGCAAACATGTGGAAGAAGGTGCTCTGGTCAGATGAGACCAAAATTGAACTTTTTGGCCTAAAAGCAAAACGCTATGTGTGGCAGAAAACGAACACTGCACATCACTCTGAACACACCATCCCCACTGTGAAACATGGTGGTGGCTGCATCATGTTCTGGGGATGCTTTTCTTCAGCAGGGACAGGGAAGCTGGTCAGAGTTGATGGGAAGATGGATGGAGTCAAATATGGGGCAATCTTAGAAGAAAACCTGTTAGTCCGCAAAAGACTTGAGACTGGGGCAGAGGTTCACCTTTCAGCAGAACAACAGCCCAAAACATCCAGCCAGAGCTACAATGGAATGGTTTAGATCAAAGCATCTTCATGCGTTAGAATGGCCCAGTCACAGTCCAGACCTAAATCCAATTGAGAATCTGTGGCAAGACTTGAAAACTGCTGTTCACGGACACTCTCCATCCAACCTGACAGAGCTTGAGCTATTTTGAAAGAAGAATGGGCAGAAATGTCCCTCATTAGATGTGCAAAGCTGGTAGAGACATCTCCAAAAAGACTTGCAGCTGGAATTGCAGGGAAAGGGGGTTCTACAAAGTATTGACTCCGGGGGGCTGAATACAAATGCCGCCACACTTTTCACATATTTATTTGTAAAAAATGTTGAAAACCATTTATCATTTTCCTTCCACTTCACAATTATGTGCCACTTTGTGTTGGTTTATCACATCAAATCCCTATAAAATACATTTACGTTTTTGGTTGTAACATGACAAAATGTGGAAAATTTCAAGAGGTATGAATACTTTTTTCAAGGCACTGTATACACGTTGTCATGGTTGGTGGGTGTAGCACCTGCCAAGTATGACCCATTCAAGTGAATGAGGCCGCTCTGCAAGCGCCCTAGAGCCTCCAAAAAAGCAGCTCTGTAGGAGTTCTTGCAGTCATTGGGAGATGTACCTTTATTGGAATAAATGTAGATCACAAGGAAGAGCCAGTGTGTGTAACAGGACAGCCTGGGTCAGGATAGACGCCCCGTCCGCTCCGATGGAGATGGCTTGAGGCAGAGAATGCTCCTGTCACTGCGAGGAACATGTGACCGCGTCGTCCCGGGATGCCATCACCATGGTCTACGGAAGAAGCGAGAGGGAGGATCCAGCATTGGAACACAAGCTGGGATGGAGGCCGGTAACCTGGACAACGCATTTTGCGTACATGCGTCTTATCAAGTCCCTTGCGGGACTTAGCGGGGGGGGGGGGGTTAAAAGCTTGGCTCAACTCTGAGGTTTTACCGCCTCTTACCCTTGAGTGTGAATGAGCCTCTAGGGCTCCTTTGCGATGCACACGGTTTTGGTGCAGCGGGGCTGACCTTTTAGGGTTAAAACAGGCGGTAAGGGGGCAACATATTGCCTCCCAGCCATCTGTCCTCTGGAAAGTGAACCACCGCAGATTGCTTTTCAGAGGGGTTGCGGATGAGCCCTAAGAGGGACTTTCTCTGTGAATCAGAGACAATTGACAGCAGCAGTTGTGATTCCTTGTCTATAGTCTGGAAAGTTCAGGACAAAAAGGGAATTTTAGATGAGAGCTGAATGTGCAGCTTTCAGAAAAGCTTTAAACTACTCCCAGAATCGCCTCTCCTCAGCGGTTGCCATGGCAACAGATAGCCTAGCCAGACCCTGCCGCTGTCTTCGCCCGCGCATCCTGAGAATCCATGCTCACCAGCAGGGGGCGATCGGGGCACGCAAGGTTTTCTGGAGCGTACAATGCAGGTGATTAGAATACAAAATGCAGCCAGGCTGAGCAGGGGAAGCATTTCATTACAGTGCCAAGGCTGACGGGTGGAAGAACCCTGCCCAGAGAACCCACGCTTCACTTCTCTACTGTAAAAGAGGAAACAGCAAATACTACGAGAAGGACAACCCAATGTTCTATAACTTAATAAACCTTTTATAGCCGACCCAAGACACAACCAATAAAGCCAATCTCAGGTTGTCATGGCAACAAGTCCATTTAAAGTACAAAGTCATTTTCATTAGTGTTTTTAAAGAGAACCTGTCACGAGTGGGTCTATACAACTCTGCAGCATATATGGAAAATGTATGTATTGCCATTCACAAGTCTGCACCGAGCTACATCACCAAATTTGTCTCCTAATATCACCCAAACCATCCTCTCCGCCCCTCCCAAGACCTCCTGCTCTGTAGCTTCCTTGTCTCCTCCTCCCGTGCTCGTCTTCAAGGCTTCTCCAGAGCCTCTCCCATCCTCTGGAACTCCCTATCCCAATCTGTCCAGCTGTTTCCTACACTTTTCACTTTTATGGTGATCCCCCACAGTTCTTACCTTTTGTACCACTTGCCCCATCCTATTAGATTGTATGCTTTTGAACCTTTTGTATTTAATCATATTGCAACTCTACTGTCTCCCTTTAGATTGTAAATCACTGTGTAAACTGTTGGCGCTATTTAAATCCTGTATTATAATGATAATAATAATGATGTATACTGTATATATATATACTCCATCAGTATATTGGTCTCTCATTGTGATAAAGGCACTTGATTCCTTAGTATGTACCAACAGTGACATGATTTTTTCCTTTTCTGATGACCATTGAGTAGTCGGTAGGAATCAGCCATTGGAGCACATTGATACTTGGAATTGATTTACCCCAGAGACTTTGTACACTTTGTATTTGAACTCTCTTCTGCATGGCTGTGGGTGAACGCAGCGTGGTGCCATGGCAGTAAACACATATAGTTCAATTGTAAATGACAGAACCTGTATTGAAGTCACAGCCCAAAGATACAAACAGCTTGACAGGAGGGCACTCAGCTGGGAACACTCACAGTTCTGAACAGTAGTGCAGAGCGGAGTAGGTCCTGAGTGCCGACAGCATCTGTTTCATAGGGTGCGATGCAGCCTGGCTGGTCTGTGCCCAATTGAGAGGATTTCTGGAAAGGATAGCATGTCCCTATCCTGTCCCTACTTGTCTGGAACCTTTCCCTACCGCTATTCACTTTCCCTGACAGCTGGATAACCTTTCCCTGCACTGTCCACTCGCAAAATGCATACCAAACCTGGGAGCCAGGGTCTTAAACAGAATCTGCCTGACCCAAGATGGCCACCAGAGTCACATGGGGCAACAGCATCCAACTAGATCACTTCCCCAGTGACCCAGGAAACCATAGAGAAACAGGTTCCTCCTGGCGTCCTCTCCTCTTTCAATGCTGCTTCAGCTGAGCGCCACCTGCCGTGGATAAAGAACACTGCACCTGCCTACATGGCCCTGGACCTGACAGCTAACTACATGCACTCAGCGCCAAGGTACGATACAGTGCCTGAAGCAACATTACAGGTCATTCCCATGGTGTGGGGTCCAGGTACGGCTTCCAAGATTGCACCAATTAGGATACACTACTTCTATTGTTGTTAGAATACAGTGCAGAGTTAATTACGAGAAGTAGAGGTCCATCACCCTAGGACTCTAGCGAAAAACTGAGGTCTCATGGAGCAGGGTACGGTTATAGGGGTATGCCCAGGGGTTTCCAGTGTCCAATTACCTGATGGTACCTGCCTATAACCCAGGATTTTTGACTACTCAGCCTATGTCCTGTACTGTACAATTAGGATAACGGAATCTGCCATTGCTGGAGGCGAAGGCTCTGGGGCTGTCATCCTTTATGTCAATAATTAGTGAGTTACCTGGACGTGGAAGTAGCTGGTGTATATCATGCACATTCCATCTCTAAGATAAAAGGAGTTTATAAATTTATAAAAGGAGTTGCTACAAATGCTCCATTTCTTTTAGATGCCACCTATTTGTATTCAAATTACCTGCTCTGCGTCTGAGCCACTTTCTGCTGAAGGATCTGTGTCTGGAACCTGCGGACCAGGATAAAAACAGCTGCCGCAGCGCAAATTATGATGCAGAACACAACGGCACAGGCAATGGCGGCAAGGCGGTGATGGGTCATTCGGTAATCGCAAGCAGGTCCCATGTACCAAAAGTCTCTGCCAACAGGGCACCTAAGAGGAAAAGAATGGGCTAAATCAGAGCAATATGCACATGACCGACAGTGGAAAAGGAGCTAATAAAATGATGATACATCTACAAGTTTAAAGTCCACCCAAAACTGAAATCTTATGTATAGGCAGATGCTGCTTGGCAGAAGAATGACAACTTAGCTGTCTCATGGACTCCAGTGCTGGGATCTACCCACTGGAGTAACCAGCATATATCATTCACTTTATTACAGTGTCAAAGTGAGAGGCGGTGGGAGTGGGGGACTTACTGAGCCTCAAAGATACAAAAAAAAAACTGGGGGGAACAATTAGCCAACAATGAAGTATTAATGTAACCTGTTAAAATGGAAGGTGAAATCCCAAGCTAGCAGGGCATTATGGAAGGTGTGTTGCTGCTATAAGTTCCAATATACAAAAATAGCATTATTGCAATTTATTTTATTAAAACAGTTTAGTGATGTATCCAGAATATAGGTATTTCAGACAATGGAACAGGCACTCTGGTGCAATTAAATTTCCGTTTTTTTTTTGTTGTGCTCCTTACAATCAACCACTAGTTTGCTGCTGCTGGAAGACATGCAGATGAAATAAAGCTGGTTGCACAGTTCAGGTGTTCTCATGTGAATTGCCACAGATGGGGGGTCCAGCAGGGGCAGAACTGGGTAGGGCTGATGACACTACTTAGGATTTTAATGCAACAAAGGGACTGTATTGTCTGTTAACTACAAAACAGTTGACGATAAACCTGTTGGTAAACGTTGGACCCAAAAGTTGGAAGGATACGGCTTTAAATCCAAATTTTTAGAAGCAGCTTTCTTTAGGGTCATTGGGATCCCTGGAGTAGTCTTTAAGACACTTGGAAAGGGAGGAGAGTGCCACAGATCTAATGTGAGGCTATTAAAGGGGGCTTTATGTAATAATATCTTATTGGATTAAAATGACCGATGATTTCTAGTTATATGTAGCACCAATCAGAAACACAAGAAAGGATTAAAGAGGAACCATGATTGAAACAAAACGTGTTCATGCTGATAATGGCAGAGCTGTTCAGATCTATAGCTATAACATGGTAACAGTTCTGTGGGCCCATAAGCGGTGTGTTTTACAGTTGTACCTCGTTATGGTATGTGGTCAGTATAGATGTAAACAGCAGAGTGGTCCAGCTTCCCCCATTTGTGATGGTAGTGGCGATGGCAACAGTAGATCTAACCCCTGCATGTTAGAGGGTTCCCAATAGAGAACCTAAATCTCAACTTCGGCCCAAACATTGATTTTTGTATAGTACACAGTGGGGTTAGAACCCCTGTCAGTTTTTTTTATTACTGTATGTGTCCCTATTGTGTAGATTATCCCTCACTTCATGTTGGAACAGGTAGTGATGACAAACCTCTTCATGGGGAACCTTGGCAAACATGAAATCACACAGTAGGGTGAAGAGGCTTAGAACTACTGAAATGTTTATATTGCTCCCCGTGCCTTGGTGGCGATTCTACTTTCCATTCCTTGTATGGGAATTACAAGGAACGGAAGGGAGAGAAGATCTCCCAATGGGGACACAAAAATAAAAACAAAACAAAAATTGTAAGGGTGATTCTTGATCTGGAGATGAACAAATTTTGATATCCATCAATGGATATGACATATGAAAATAAAAGCTAAACAAATCCTGGTGACTATCCTACTCACTGACACGCAGGATCCTGGCCTTTGCGATGTATACAGATGCCGTCATTTTGACAGAAAGTGCTGTGACAAGGTGACAGACAGAAGGCGCTAAGCTTGCGCTGAGGCACACAGCGGAATCCCCGAGGGCACGTGAACCAATCTGTACAGGGCTCAACCATATCTGTGGAAAAGAGAAAGGTCGGTAGGTAAACAGGCGAGAGTGTGACTTCAGAAGACCATGACCGCACTGTCCTTCAAAGGGATTGCTCAACAGAGAATCTGCCATGTGTTGCATAATATGGCCCTGACCCCATCCCCTTTATCAGTGTGAATGAGGGAAGAATTAAAGTGTATCTCTGGACAAAATAAAATAATATATGTAGTACCTCTCCGGAATGCATATACGTTCCCCTACGTTTTATATCTGTATAGGCCCTGCAAGTACAGAACAAAAATACCTGAAACCCAGCAAGAGCCCAACGTCCTGTAGTAAATTGACAATGCTGCCTCTGAAAACCCAAGCAGTGTTATTAGTACTGCCAAATTCCCCCTTGCAGGACTACAATGCCTCTTTCCCCCCTTATGTTATGGAGATGGGGGGTCCAGCAGGGGCAAAACTGGGTAGGGCTGATGACACTACTTAGGATTTTAATGCAGCAAAGGGACTGTGTTGTCTGTTAACTACAAAACAGTTGACAATAAACCTGTTGGTAAACATTGGACCCAAAAGTTGGAAGGATACGGCTTTAAATCCAAATTTTTAGAAGCAGCTTTCTTTAGGGTCATTGGAGTAGTCTTTAAGACACTTGGAAAGGGAGGAAAGTGCCACAGATCTAATGTAAAGGCTATTAAATCCTATTCCACATGACAAGAGGTCAGAAGGGAAAGCCAATGTGTTTTGGAGTTCAATTCTCCCTAAATATTTCTCAGCCCTGATAAAGGGAGGCATTGAGCCCCGAAACTTGCTTCTTCTTCTGACTTCTTGTCATGCGCAATAAGGTTTACTGCACACATATTATATCAGGGTTTCTCAACCAGGGTTCCATAGAACCCTACGGTTCCTCCAGAGATTGCTAATTCCTTGAGCAATGAGCAATTTCTTCCTCTGAAATAAGTTCCCCCTGACACCATTGATTTTTTTAGTTATTAAGGGAAATTATTATTCCCAAGGACCACAAGTGTAAGGGGCATTCTTCTCAATGACCGTCACACTAATGCATCAGGAGTTGTAGATATAGTAATTTTTATTAGGGGTTCCCTGACACCGGAAAATTATTTCAAGGGTTCCTATGTGTTGAAAAGGTTGAAAAAGGCTGCATTAGATCTACTAAAGTACCAGCTTATTCCTGCCAGCTGCTAGCTCTAATGGGTAAATATTAATATATATTTATAGCTTGGAAAATATTTAAAAAATGTTAGAATATGTCATATTTTTAGTCTTGAATACAATAAATACAATATTGGTGAGGCATGGTGGGGTGGGGGCTTTATGTTGACAATGGGTCCACCAAAATAGGGAACAAAAGGGAAAAAAAAAATGAATGACTTAAGACACAAAAGAATGTCTTGCTGGTTGTTTTGGCAAGAGAACACACTCCGACTTGAGATGGTTATTTAATGACATGAAACTGTTGCTGAACATTTACTTAAGGGTTGTAAAATGTGACTGATCTGAAATGGATTTCATTTAGTGAAATGCGGCAGAGAAGATTTTATAGAGGAAGAAAAGTGCTATTACTGAGAGAAGGACAGGTCAACGGGGTGAGTTCTCTGCAGAGGAATATCTATGGATTATAGGAGGAGAACGTGTTCTTGGTCAGCTGGCCCTTGTGTCATAACAGGTCAATCCATCAATAATGGCAGCAAGGAACCGTCAACTGTACACGACCTCGACAGGTCTCTTCTCTGTCTTACCTTCCATGGAAGTATTGCGGATTGTGGAGAGGAGGGTGTACTCAGAGGGAGCCAAGGCCTCAAACACTGACGTTGGGTTAGCAAGTACCGATTCCTGTTCTACGGACATCGGGCTCCCTACTTGCACGCTGTACTGCACTTTGTATTCCAGGGCAGTGCCAGACAGCCTAAAACAACAAATAAACAAGCTACTGCCGGTGCGGGATAAAAGGCAAATTTAAATAGCAACCCCAGGCAACAGGTTAACTAAATCAGGCAACTTGGTACTATTTAGGAAACATTTTACTTGTTCTTATATAAGCAAATCCATTCAACTTGCCTTTCATCTGAGTTTTATATCATTGCAAAAACAAAAGCAATTTTACAGCAAATATGAGCAGAATGACGTCAGTCACCGCTGTGCATCCTTCCTTTCTGAGGATTACAGAAGGGCGGAGCTGAAAAGCAGGGAACTCACAGGTCTGTATTTTCACAAGCTCAGATTCAAGGCTATTCAGGAAATAGGGACACCAACAACCACAACATATACGAGGGGGTCATTGCTGACCTCTTTCTGGTTGCCTCTGGCTTTAATTGCTTCACACTCACAATTTCAAAACAAATATGCAGATTTGAAAGTTGGAGTCAAGTCAGAATTTCTGATTTGCAGAGCTGGTCCAGCTTGGCGTCTCAGAGTACTGAAGCCTTGGAGAAGCCTAATAACCAGGCAACTAGCATTTTTAGAAGAAGGTCAGTAATATCACCCTCCATATTTTGTCACCAAGGGTGATGTTGTAACAGAATATGCTGTTTTTGACTATTGCAATCTGTCAACTAGAAACTTACTTTTCTGGTAAGTAAAAAATAAAAGTACCTATATTGTGCTCCAGCTAGGTAAAATAACCAACCTGCCGCACAAACATCATGGTGGCCTGCACTTGCATTACCTGCACTTGCCTCTTACTCTCCCTTGATGTCCTGATTTGCTGGTTGGACAGGGGCAAAATTCTTATGCAGGTATCAACTTCCTAAAAATCAAATGCTGCTGCATTGTGGGAGGCATTTCCAGAGAGCTCAATACGCAAAGTGCAAGGTGATTCCCAAGTCTCCAGTGGCAAATCAGGGTAGTTGGGGACTCCAGGAATGGAAATATTCTGCTCACTCTCTATTACTCTGTTTACTATTGATTAAAAATAACTTTTCCTAAAAATGCTTTTAATCTATATGGCCAGCCCACAAGAGCAGTTCACAGACAACATCATAGACTGTAGACCAACCTTCTCAACCAGGGTTCCTTCAAAAGGTTGCTAGGGGTTCCTTAACCAATGAGCAATTTCTGTCTCTCGGATATGTAACCCCGGACACCAATCATCTTTTTTATTTATCTGTAAGGAAGCATTCTTCCCACTGGCCAGCAATGTAAGAGGCATTCCTCCCACTTACCATCAATGTAAAGAGCATTTTTCCCAATGACCATCAATGTAAGGCGCCTTCTTCTTACTGATCACCAATGTAATAAGCCTTTTTCCCAATGACCACCAATATAAGAAGTCTTCTTCTCACTGACCATCAATGTAAGAAGCATTCTTCTCACTTACCACAAATGTAAGACTTATTCTCACTGACCACCAATGTAAGAAAGCTTCTTCCCACTAACCATCAATAGAAGAAGCATTCTTCTCACTGACCGCCCATAGAAGAAGCCTTCTTACCACTGACCACCAATGTAAGAAGCATTCTTCTCACTTACCACAAATGTAAGAAGACTTATTCTCACTGACCACCAATGTAAGGAAGCTTCTTCCCACTAACCATCAATAGAAGAAGCATTCTTCTCACTGACCGCCCATAGCAGAAGCCATCTTACCACTGACCACAAATGTGGGAAACCTTCTTCTCACTGATCACCAATGTAAGAAGCATTCTTCCCACTGACCAATGATGCAAAAATCATTCTTCTCACTGACCACCAATGTAAGAAACATTCTTCCCACTGACCACCAATGTAAGAAGCATTCTTCCCACTCACCACCAATGTAAGAAGCATACTTCCCACTCACCACCAGTGTAAGAAGTCTTCTTCCCACTCACCACCAGTGTAAGAAGTCTTCTTCCCACTGACCAACAATGTAAGAAGCATTTTTTTTCCAGAAAATAGGTGCAGAAACTCAACCACTACCCCCCAAAACCCCCTTCCCCCCACACACACAACCTCCAAACTAAATCAAATAGTGGGTGTGGTCAAATGTCACAGTTGAACAGTCTTAAAGAGGCATTAAATACCAGGAGTTTCACACAGAGTGCAGAATTCAGGGGTGTGCTATGTGCAGAGTTTGGGGGTACACTACACACAGAGCTCAGCCTTCTTCAAGAGCTGCTTACCTCTGCATCCCCCATCCACATCTCGCTTTCATCCCTCATCAGCTCTGACCTCTGCTTGCAACCCTCTCTCCACTGCCCCCATCTCTCCCCCCACCCCTTAAAAGCTCCACCACCTTCCACATGTCTTACTTTTATTGCTGCATTAAGCTGAAGCACCCAGCCAGCTCTAGTGCCTCCCAGCACACTGTAGGTGGTTCTGCCTCTCTCAATTGCAGGGAGATCATCCAGTGAGGGCATCTGCATCTTCCTTGTCCCCATCCTTCACCCAGTGGGAGCTGCTCAGGACAGAAGCTGGACTTCTGTGTTTTCAAGTAACAGTGGTGAGCAAGGAGCAGAGGGCCTGAGCCAGAGGTACTGAACTTGAGTTCCACCAAGTTCCAGCTGAAAAAACTCCCTGGTAAGAAGCCTTCTTCTCACTGACCACCAATGTAAGAAGCCTTCTTCTCACTGACCACCAATGTAAGAAGCCTTCTTCTCGCTGACCACCAATTTAAGAAGCATTCTTCTCACTGACCACCAATCTAAGAAGCATTCTTCTTACTGACCATCAATCTAAGAAGCATGCTTTTCACTGACTACCAATCTAAGAAGCATTCTTCTCACTGACCACCAATCTAAGAAGCCTTCTTCTCACTGACTACCAATCTAAGAAGCATTCTTCTCACTGACCACCAATCTAAGAAGCATTCTTTTCACTGACCACCAATCTAAGAAGCATTCTTCTCACTGACCACCAATCTAAGAAGCCTTCTTCTCACTGACCACCAATGTAAGAAGCCTTCTTCTCGCTGACCACCAATTTAAGAAGCATTCTTCTCACTGACCACCAATGTAAGAAGAATTCTTCTCACTGACCATCAATCTAAGAAGCATTCTTTTCACTGACCACCAATCTAAGAAGCATTCTTCTCACTGACCACCAATCTAAGAAGCATTCTTCTTACTGACCATCAATCTAAGAAGCATGCTTTTCACTGACCACCAATCTAAGAAGCCTTCTTCTCACTGACTACCAATCTAAGAAGCATTCTTCTCACTGACCACCAATCTAAGAAGCATTCTTCTCAATGACCACCAATCTAAGAAGCATTCTTCTCACTGACCATCAATCTAAGAAGCATTCTTTTCACTGACTACCAATCTAAGAAGCATTCTTCTCACTGACCACCAATCTAAGAAGCATTCTTCTCACTGACCACCAATCTAAGAAGCCTTCTTCTCACTGACCACCAATGTAAGAAGCATTCTTCTCACTGAAACTACACTAATGTACCAAGAGCTGTAGCTATAGCAATTATTGGCAGGGGTTCACTGAGACCTGAAAGTTATTTTAATGGTTCGTCCATGTTGAAAAGGTTAAGAAAGGCTGTTTTAGACAGTCAACAAGCGGTATTTTACTGTTTGAACAGATACTGTATACAGTTTGCAAAATTTATCATTTTATAGAAAATTACACTTTAACAATAATCTAAACTCAAGAACAAAAATCCTACCTGCTTACTTGTACCTACAGCTAAGCCTAAAATAAGACTTACCTGTAGGTACAGTAAATATCTCCTAAACACGCACCATTTAGCAGATATTTACTATAGTAGCAGCCGGTGACATCACTGCGCTCTCAATGGACGGTGTGCCATCCACTGAGAGAGCCGTGCTGTGGCTCCTGCGCACAGGCACAGGAGCGACGTCATTGCGGCTTGGCAAGTCAAACCGCTGAAGCCCGTGAACCCGGAAGGAAGACGGGTGAAGATGGAGGCACCTACAGCGGTGACAGCATGCCGCTGGAGGGCTTTGTTCTAAGGTAACTCTGTACATACTAGCGCATTATGCTATTATTTTGCAGTTTTTTTATGGTTTACTACTACTTTAAATATAATTGCAGTCCTTAGATTTGTCAACTGCATTCGTTTTATTTTTTCAGGATAAAAACATTTTCAGCAAATACAAAAAACACATGTTGATCTTGCTTGAAATGTAGTGTCCTTGCCATTACCTGTGAGCTGACCTGAAAGCACAAACAACCCTTTCTTCCTTCTAAGCCAGTGGTTCTCAACCTTCCTAATGCCGCGACCCTTTAATACAGTTCCTCATGTTGTGGTGACCCCCAACCTAAAATTATTTACCCAGTAATTATAATTCATGAAGTGTCGTTTTACCTCCAATACTGCTGCTTTCAACACAGTAGCTGCTTTCAACACAGTAGCTGATTTCAACACAGTAGCTGCTTTCTACACAGTAGCTGCTCTTTACACATTGGAAATATGTGTTTTCCGATGGTCTTAGGTGACCCCTGTGAAAGAGTCGTTCGACCCCCAAAGGGGTCGCGACCCACAGGTTGAGAACCACTGTTCTAAGCTATCTTCCTTAACCTACAAATCCCCCATGTAATGTAAACGAAGAGAGAAAGCCATATTTATAGTTCAAATCAGGAAAGCAGCCTCGGGTGACAACCATTGCCCCCTCCAGAGATGCAGAGTTAGTGTAGCCACCCAGGGAAAAGAAGTGTGTTACAGACAAGATCACTAGGTGGAAAAAAAGGAAAGAGAAGCCCGAAAAGAAAGTCAAAGCAGTCACCACATCGAAGGATTGGTAAATTGCAACATATTACAATGTTGTTTTTGAATTAAGATATACTTTTCTTACTGTATAACATATAAATTAGGAATTGTCTCAGCATTGTCATTTTTCTGCACGTTAGAAGCAATGCTGCTTTACAATATGACCACCCTCTTTCCTTCATACAACCAAGCTGTGCGTCGGATTTTCTCCAGTAATCAGCCAGTGCCCTCAGGTACCATACAATATGGAGTCCTATCCATGCAGTGATATCATATGTTTAACCATCTGTTGCTCACATATGTTATAGGATGCCCAGCTTACATAAGCCAAGGGCAAAGTCCTAAACATTTGACGTAATCTCGTTACAACGTGCTCTTCAAGTCTTTATTATCCACATCCACTTCATAACCAGGGCAGTGACACAGCTGTGGCTATAGCACTTACGTCACATTGATCACGTCCGCCTTGTCGAATCCAGCAGTATACTTGTATGCAGAAGTCACCTGTAGGAAGACATAAACCTGATTAGCTGTTTCATAATTGGCTGGCTGAACGACACGGCCAATTTGAAGCCCCTCGATTGTCACTGACCTCTTTGCTGAAATCTTTTTTGCATGGTTCAAGATCACTGCACATTGCAGATTGTTGCACATTCACTCTGTAAGTCATGCTGATGGTTGGCACTGAAGGAGGAGAACATAGGGACAGCATGTTACAGGTAATATACTGTAATATACAGGCAAGGTTCTGCTAAATACTGTACGAGCTGAACTATGTGCACACAGCTAAATTTGCAGATTATATATATATATATATATATATATATATATGGAACATTTGTTATCTGGATTTGCATTGCTGTCCATCCAGATCCAGATCTGACATTTACCAACCACAAAGCCCAATGTATTGCCCTTCTAGGTAGGTGCTAGGTTAGGTAAATCTAGTTATTTAGCTCTCCTGTAATCAGTGGAGCTGTTAGTAATTGCTCTGCTCACAAGCTCTGGGTTTGACTGCTTTCCCTCTGCCTTCTGGATGGTTCAGTAAAATAGTAGTCTGGGAGAGTCAAATCTCCAGTCTGAATATTTCTGTGGTCCCAGCCAGTCCCTGGGGGAAGATGCCCAGTAGGTGGCTGGGAGGGAACATAAATAGGTTTAGGCTTGAAGCAGAGGGATTCATGTCCAGGAGGAGGAGAAGATCTCAGCCTGAAGGGCTCCTGCTCTTCTGGGCAGTCCAGCTGTTTTTTTTTTTTTCATTCGCTCATTGAGGTCCCAGCTGTGCTAGCTTAGGGGTTTATTGTACTGAACTTGTACTGAACTTTGCTGGAGCTGATTGGGGATTTCCTTCCGGAATCTGGTCTGAAGTGTTCACGGGAGAAATGTTTGGCTGACTTGGTATCCAGCTATCCAAGGACATTACTAAGTACAGACCAGTGTGTGAGATCCCAGTGACTGTGTTCTGAGTCAGCTTGTATATCAAAGTAGACATTACTTGTGGTGTCCCTCTGTAGCTCAGTACGGTCTATAGGGATTCTAATTGGTCAGCACCATCACATGGATGGATTTAACCCGTACTGTCAGCACTGCAAGGAGAGGAGAGAAGGCCATGGGGGTTTCAAATCCCTGGACTGGTAATGCAGCATTTCCTTGTCTGAGAGTAGAGGATCGGCAATCTGGTACAGCGCGACCAGGGGGGAATGGGGAGGGGTCCAGTGGATGGCTGGAACCACTGGAGAGAGACATGGGAGAGGCAAGAAGAGCCCACGTCCACAGTGTGATTGGGAGCCGGAGCTGGTGGAACCCTTCATGCAGGGAGGTTTCCTGCACCACTCCTGTGTGAACTCAGGCTCAAAGTTACTATGACAAGACTGGATTCACACAGGAGCTGTGCGAGAAACTGCATGTGATTCAACCAGGAATTGCACCGCAATTCCTGTTCAAACCACATGCAATTTTTTTTTAGGAAATACAAAGATGCACTATATCTGCTTAAAGTGCAGCTTTAAAGTTCTCATAAAAGTTCCAAATATTATTATTTATTTTGTGAAAAAAATAGAATCTTGTACTGCCACTTCTGACCATGTTCTACGAATGCTAGTTGCCTGGTTGCAATACTTTTTGAGTCACCAGCAGGGAACAAGTCTGAGTAAACATAAAAATTCTGATCAATACCCTTGCTCTGTTAGTTCCCAAAAAGCACTTAAGACAAAAGGATAAGCATGACACCCAAGTAACAAGCAATTTAAAAAAAGAGTTCAGCAATATAGGCCCACCTATTGTGAAGACAGTCCTAGCCCACTGAAGTTTCTACAACACTTCTATGGGAAAATTCTGTGAAGAAGTATGTCTTGCAAGGCACAGAACTATTGGTGTAACTTCCAAACCAATCATGGTGATTTTATAGGGGTCTCCAAACTTTCTTAACAAAGGGCAAGATTGCTGTCCTTCAAATTTTAGAGGGGGCAGAGTGTAGGCAGCAGGAGTTGAAAATGTCCCAGTGTCAGTGGGATCAAACAATGTCTAAGGCTTGGTGGTCAGAGGGAGTAAGAAAATTACATAGAGCCTGTGGTCAGTGAGAGGAGAAATTGTGCCCCATCATTGGTGTCAGTGGGAGGAATAGTGCCCCATGATTGGTAATAGTGGAAGGAACAGTACCCCGTTATTGGTGTCAGTGTAAGGAATAGTGCCCAATCATTGGGGTCAATGGAAGGAATAGTCTTATAATTGATCACAGTGAAAAGAATAGTGTCCCACCATTGCTGTCAGTGGAAGGAATAGTGCTCCACCATTGGTGTCAGTGAAAGGAATAGTGCCCCACCATTGCTGTCAGTGGAAGGAATAGTGCCCCATGATTGCTGTCAGTGGAAGGAATAGTGCTCCACCATTGGTGTCAGTGAAAGGAATAGTGCCCCACCATTGCTGTCAGTGGAAGGAATAGTGCCCCATGATTGCTGTCAGTGGAAGGAATAGTGCTCCACCATTGGTGTCAGTGAAAGGAATAGTGGCCCACCATTGGTGTCAGTGAAAGGAATAGTGTCCTATAATTGGTTACAGTGGAAGGAATAGTACCCCATCATTGCTGTCAGTGGGAGGAATAGTGCCCCATTGTTAGTGTCAGTTGGAGGAATAGTGCCCCATTGTTAGTGTCAGTTGGAGGAATAGTGCCCCATTGTTGGTGTCAGTGGGAGTAATAGTGTCCCATTGTTGGTGTCAGTGGGAGGAATAGTGCCCCATTGTTAGTGTCAGTGGGAGGAATAGTGCCCCATTGTTGGTGTCAGTGGGAGGAATAGTGCCCCATCATTAGTATTAGTGGGAAGAACAGCGCCGCATCATTGGTATCAGTGGGAGGAATAGTGCCCCATCATTGGTGTCAGTGGGAGGAATAGTGCCACATCATTGGTGTCAGTGGGAGGAATAGTGCCACATCATTGGTGTCAGTGGGAGGAATAGTGCCACATTGTTGGTGTCAGTGGGAGGAATATTGCCCCATCATTAGTATTAGTGGGAAGAACAGCGCCCCATCATTGGTATTAGTGGGAGGAATAGTGCCACATCATTCATTGGTGTCAGTGGGAGGAATACAGCCTCATCATTGGTGTCAATGGAATGAATGGTGCCTTGTATCAGTAGAAAGAATAGTGCTCCAAAGGAATAAAGGAAAGCTAAGGGCCGCATCTGGCCACCACTGCTATAGACAATACTTTCACACTACCTTTTATGAAGTGTTATTTACAGAATCCTTCTGAAAGTGCAGGAGACAATCAAGGTGAAATTAAGCTGGCTGTACACGAATAGATTTTCTAACAAAAGTTTGCACAGAAATTCTTAGTATATTCAATGGCTTGACATATGTCATTCAAAAGTACAATGTAGGAACAAATTGACCAAAAAAAACCCCACATACATTAACATTTGTTAGTTTCAGAAAAAATTTCCATCCTGCTCCTTCAAACTTTCTCATCACTGAAAATGAAAATCAATTTGGCCCCACTAATAATCAGAAAATCAAACAAATGGGCTTAAAACAAAAATTTCCAATAAAATTCTACTAGTGTATGGCCAGTTTTACAGTAGTGCTTCATGGTGCTATATTTTAGGAACATATTAGAAAACCGTCTTCTCTGAGGAAGGTGTCTGTGGGGTCTTCAGTGGGCAATACACATCACAATCTCAGAAGGATCACAGTAAGGCTGGCCATAGATGGATAGAATTTTGAATGAAAATTCTTAGGAAAAGTCTTAGGAAAATGTGTATGAAAATTCTCAGAATGTTTGTCATTTGAAAGATTTTGTTTTCTTTTAACATTTGATTTTGGAATGAATGGACCGAAATGAAATGAAAACGAAAACCACATACAATGTTAGAAATTTGTTTGAGGAAATCTTCCATCCTGCTCCTTGAAAATGAAAGTCAATTTGATTCATAATGATTCCAAAAATGAGCGAACTTTACCTAAGAATTTCCTTTGAAATCCTACCCACCTATTGGCCAGTTTAAATTAATCAACCCAATGGCTTTTCAAACCTGTATGTAGTGAGATCTCTGAAAGTCAAAAAAGTCTACCTACTTCTCCTACACTCTACTCATTGTAGGTTCAACACAGATAGGTGACACCCTTTTGTAATAGGCAAAGTGGATAGATGGTGTTGAGAACTCAAATGCAAAGATTTCTCCACCAAAACTGAAGGTATGTGCAAAGCAGATGGGTGACTTATTCAGTTGGTAGCTACTTTAACCAGTTCCCCGCCACCCTATAGCAGAACTACTGCTACAGGGCGGCAGGGCTGCCAAAATCAGGTGTATGTATATATATACATGTGTGTGTGTGATTTTGCATTTCCGGGTAGGGGGAGTGCGCGCCGCCCTACCCGCGCCGACATTGGCAGCTACAGCTCTCAATCACCGGGTCCCGGCCGGAGATTCCTCGCCAGCACCCGACAATCACTGAGGAACCATGAAAGAGGAGAGGTCTGTGTGTAAACAAAACAGATCTCTCCCCTGTCAGCACCAACATTCTGCTTTGTATTGCTCTGCATAGCAGAGCAATACAAAGCAGCATGTTTCCCTAGTAAAGCACACAGCACACTTAGTAAAACAGCACACAGCAACCCTTTGATTGCCCCACATGTTAACCCCTTTCTGCCCATTATCATTAGTACAGTGTCAGTGCTTTTTATTAGCATTGATCACTGTATTAGTGTCACTGGGGATGTCAGTGGCAGTTGGTCAGTTCCCCCCCAGTGTCAGAATGCCCGCCGCAGTCCCGCTATAAGTCGCTGATCGCCACCATTACTGGTATAAAAAAAAAAAAAAAATTCCAGTATATATACCGCCATTTGTAGACGCTATATCGTTCATGTAAACAAATTAATTTACATGTATTGGTAGTTTTTTTTCAGCAAAGACATGGAGCAGAATACATTTTGGCCTAAATTTATGACGAAATTTGATTTATTTAATTTTTTTACTGGATATGTTTTATTAAATTAAATTGTCGGTCTTTTTTTGTTTATAGCGCAAAAAATAAAAGTCGCAGATGCAATCAAATACCACCAAAAGAAAGATCTATTTGTGGGAAAAAAGTACATAAATTTCATTTGAGTGCAGTGTTGCATGACCGCACAATTGTCAGTTAAAGTAACGCAGCGCCGTATCGCACAAAAATGGCCTGGTCAGGAAGGACTTTGTCACTGGGAAGAAATTTATGGGAGGCATGATGTGAAGGCACCAAGAAGTGTACATGCCTGTATCTCAAACCTTCTTGCCATGGCTAAGTGTCAGTTCTGACAGGTAAGTGTCAAAGCTTGACACTAAACCACGCCCTTCTGCATTTATTTTGTGCCATTATTATTATAGGCAGCCTCATTGGCAAAACAGAAATATGCAGAAGGCAAGAAGTAGACGGAAAACTTCAGCCATTATAATAATAAAAAACCTCAAAAGGATTTGACTGTGTTTCCTTATGTATGCGCTCTCCAAATAAAGTGAAAAAAAAATATATATATAACTAAATGTGCAATCCTAAATACATCAATACATTGTCCATAAACACCTTCATAAAGTCCACAATAGAGAGCAGTGCAAATGTATTCACAGTAAAGGTGATTTTTCTGCACCACCATACACTGTACTTCTCTCCACCAACACAGAAACACACCGCACTCACCAGAGGGTGTTGACTTCCTTAAAAAGAAGTCCCCACTCGCTTCCCCAGTATCAACTGGTCATCTCCATCGACTGCTATTTTGCTCAAGTGGACCTCCAATACACTTGTATTACTCATGGATACATGTAAGAATCAGATGATCTAAACAGTGCTCATGCATCTTACAGAGGACTCCGTAATACCCAGCTCATGTCAGGGGAGAGATAAAAGAGTCTCTCATAGTGTAATAATGTCTTTTTAATAAAATGAAATAATTCAAATGCACTTACAAGCAAGTGCAATTACATAGGCATATAAACGTACTCAGGAATGCCGGTTTTCTTTCCACCTGTGTTTCAATAACTGGAAGTGACATAACCCAGAAGTCCCTTCCTACACGTTTCGTCAGCAACGTCTAGCCATCTATGGAGATGACCAGTTGATACTGGGAAAGCAAATGGTGACTTCTGTTTAAGTAAGGAAGTCAACACCCTCTGGCGAGTGCGGTGTGTCTCTGTGTTTGTGGAGAGGAGAAGCACGGTATATGGTGGCACAGAATCATCAGTGTAAATACATTTGCACTGCTCAATATTGAGGTGAGCAGTGTATTTATGGACAATCTATTGATATATTTATGATTGCACATTATATATATATATATATATATATATATATAAAGATGCACAAATAAGAAACATGTCATCATATCCTTTTGAGGCCTTTTCTTATTATTTTGGACTCCTATTTATTTTGATGGGGAGCAGCTTTCAGTTTTTAGTTATTTGATGGAAAAATCACAGTTTTGGATTTATATTTGTATATTTTCATATTTAATTTTGTGTACATTTGCATGAGTTTGGGGTAATTCATTTAAGATTCAGCCATTGCAAGAAGGTTTGGGAGGATGCATGTACTTGACAACTGCAGCAGTTCTTCCCCTACATGAAACAGTCTTTTTGCTGACTTGTCAGTTGTAGATGAACTTATCCTTTTAGTTCAATGTCTAGTACATACTATTTGCATAGAATCAGAAACAAATGACTTCTGCATGATGGAAAATACATTTCTGCTCTTACATCAGTGGCTGATACTGTCTCAGGTCTTTGTTACAAATGCAGTAATTTCTCAAGTTCTTCTATTTGAAAATCTGCCTTGATATCTCTATGAATTATCTTTTTGAAAAGGTCAGAAAACAACGGCAGCTGCTAAACTACTCTTACAAATATCTCTGCCGAGAAATGAAAAGAAAAAGGCCAACAGAAAAAGAAATGGTGCTCGTCAATGTGGAAGAAATTTCATGACTGACCTTTAAAGACCGGTTGCTGTTCATCTACGATGAAGATTCTGTCTCTCCCAGAAGGTGAAGACATCATCTCACTAAGTGTCAGAGGGGTGAAGGTGCTGGATTGTGGTGAAGTCACTGATTTAGTTGAGCTAGGAGACTCCGATCCATCGTTTTTCACTTTAATTGCATGGTCTTGATGGTGCCCCGATGGAAGTCTTGATGTAGGATGATATGCTTCCACATCCCAAACAGGTGTTGTTTTAGAATAGTGCACACCATTCTGAGTGTAGCCATGGTGTCCACCTGTCCTTGCTGGGGCAGGGCCTTCTGTCCTATTCTCGGTTACATTGACATGGTCAGTAAATGATGTCCTCTCTGTTGGTGTGTACTTGTCCACAGCTTGGTCTCCTGGAGTTTGTATGTTAGTTTCATCATTGACATTCATGGTCAACTCTGGTCCAGTCAATGTGATTAACTGATGATATGTAGGTGTTCCAACATGTGACTGTGTAGATTGCATTAGCCCTTTGTGGGATGTAGATACATGAGGATAGGATACAGTTGGCTTAAATGACGTCTTCGGGATCAATTCTGTTTGGTTGATTAGTCCAGTCTCAATCTGAATCGCTGGTTCTTTTTTACCACCACCGTGGATCATGATATTTGTTTGTGTGAATGATTCCATTTTGTTTGCAGTGGTTGGTTCTCTTTTAGTGTCAAGTTCTGCCATATGCTTTGTGATTGGCTCTGTGTCTGTGAAATCTGTTAAATTCTTAGTGGTAGACTGTGTAGTTGATTCTATCTTCCTGTTTGTGATTGGTTCTGTTTCTGCAGCTGATTCTGTATGAGTATTTGTGGTTGATGTGGTGTGTTTCTGGGTATCTATTTCATCTGTGGCCCATTCTGATTTTATGGTGGGATGGGTCTTACTCGCGGTTGTTGGTTTATGTTTTGTAGTAGAATCTCTCCTAGATGCTGGTTCATTTTGTGCAGTGGAATCATTCCTATGCTTTGTGACTGGTTCCACCTGAGAGTCAGTTTTTGTCTCACCCTGTAGAAATGGTTCTGTATTATTAGTTGATTCAGTGGTGACCTTAGTAATTAGCTCTGGTACTGTTGGGAAGACTGCCCCAGTCTTTGTAAATAATTCTCTTTGTGTGGGAGATTTTGTATTTGTGATCGGCTCTGTGTAATTACCAAGTTCCATGGGGCTGTTTTGGATTGATTTTGTTTGAGAAGTAGATTCCAAAGCATTGTTTATGTTTGGCCCTGTATTGGTGGAGAACTCTGTTCTATCATTTCCTTTTGAGTGGGTATTGGTGATTGGCTCTGGTTGAGTTTTATTAACATATGCTAATGTTCTAGAGTTTGACAGATTATTTCTTGTTGGCTCTGGCTGGGACGGTGTAATTAAATAAGGCATTGTTACAGTAGGAGGCATCAGTGGGACTTTTATGGTCAGTTTAGGAGGTTTTTGTGTGGACCTCGTTTGCCAGGCCCTTGTGGAAAAATCGTGCTCTGTAGACAGCTCTGGCTGTGTCTGTGTGATTACCTTAGGCTGAGTTTGGGTGGTTAAACCTACTTCTGATGTGCTTAGTTTTGATGGATCCAAAAAAGTTAGATTTGTCTGGTTCTTTATGGTTTGCTGTTCCTGTGTGGGTGTGGTTAGCTCCTCTTGGGATGGACGATTGCCTGGTTGGTTCTGTATAATGCTCTCAACTAGAGTGGTTGGGATGATATCTAACTGAGGCTGTTTAGTTGCTGCTACGTGAAGGTGTGTGGTTACATTGTATTTTGTTGTTTGTGTCAAGTGGTACTGTGTATGTGATTCTGAAAGTCTGTGTATAAAAGGTTTAGTGTGTAGGCTGGGATATGCTTCCGAATGTCTACCTTGTTCCAAGCTGTTTAGTTTGTGAACTGCAGTTTGACTGTCTGTTACAGAAACTGAGAAATATGTTGTGGGTTCTTGGGACTGTGTTGTCAGTTCAGACTGACTGCCAAAGACATTCTGGGTAGTCAGCCTTGGATGAGCTGTTCCAGATATTCCTGAAAGTCCTGCTGTTACGGACCCTATCTCATTCTCCTGCATACCTCCTATATAGGAGGGATCAGAAAGCCTAGCACTGAAATGTGTATCATTTTGGATGGAAATTTGTCTCTGGGTAGATGTCACCAACTCTTTGTGAAGCTGCTGTGGGTTAGATTGGTTCAGTTGCATCCGAGTGGTTAAATCTGGCTGCTCTTGTGTATTAATGGTTACCAGAGTCTGGGAAACATGATTCCTTTGTAAACGATGGTCTGAGTGGTGTTTATGGTGGCTATGTGAGTGTGGCTGGGTGTGGTTGTGTAGGTGTTTCTGATGATGTCTGTTTGGTTCTGAAGGGGCTGTTCTATCATGAGGTGCGCCTTTATGTTGAGATATGGTGTTGGTTTCATTTTGTCTAAGTGACTCTGGATTTAGGTGTCTGTGTTTATGGGAATGTGTCAGATTGTGGTGAATTTGGTGGCTCTCTGTCATACCTGGCCAAGTCTGGTCTTTTTCTCTTTTGGCTTGTGTGGCTTCCCCTGTCATTAATCGACTATGGACTTCTGTTGTCGTTTCGACGAGTCCTTGAGAACGGACACTTGAATGACTTACATTATCAGAAGTCCTTGCAGTCTGAGTGGCCAATACAACAGTCTGTGTAAGTCCAATGACACTAGTATCTGTGGTTAATACTGGATGGAACTGACCTCTGTCTTCTTGGACAAGTCCAGAAAGTTCTGTTGAGCTTAGGTTTGTATTCATAAATATATTTCTATCTGGTATCTTTACATTTACTTTGGATTTCAACTCTTGCATGACTTTGGAATCATGTACTTCTGGCCAATTTATCTTTCTTAAAAGTCCAGCTCTTGAAACATCATTGTGCCGATCAGCTTGAGGGACAGAAGTCACATTTTCAACATTCAATAGATGGTCCTGGGTGTTGAGAGAATTCAGTTCATACAACACAGCCTCTTTTCCAGTTGTAAATGTGGAATTAGAAGATTGCGCCATATGTTGAAGGCTGTTAGTGAGGAAGCTAGAATTCTGATTTACAAGGGTATTGAGCAGAACTGATGTGTTACTTGATTTTTCCTTCAGCTGCCTACCCATCTGTGTTACTGCCTGTAATGCCACTGGAAATTGTTTAACCCTGTCAGGCGGAAATGGCGTTCCTTTTTGGCCAGATTTAATAGAGTTTTTCAGAGGTATGGTGGCAGTCCGCTGAGGTATGGGGCTGACTGATATCCCTGCTGAGCCAGTGGTAGAATTGGAGTCTCTCAAATGACCTGTTACGGGTTTTGATGTGACATTTTTATGATGTGAATGTGGAAGGCTTTGATATCTTGCAGACGGGTGTTTTAATGTAAATTTTGGAACTGTTTTGGCTTTGCTGGGTACAATTGGCCCTTTTCTAATGACTGGTCGTTTTTGAGGGGATTCACTCAATGAATGGCTCCTGACAGTCAATGGTATCTTGGTAGCATTCAGCTGAGACTCAAAGGGAGCTGAGCTTCTTTGCTGATAACGAGGATGGTTTGTATCACTGATATTTGCACCTCCTTGAAGTGGCTGGACTTTGGCAGGCCTTACAGATAAATCTTTCGGAGAGCTATGTTGTTTTTTGCCATCTTTGGCAGGTGGAGCATGAGGCACAGCTGTCTTGTTTGCTGGTCCGCGGGATGCTGGTAATGGTTTTCGAAGCATGGTCTTGGGGGTGACAGCCATGATGAACTGAGCCCCTAAGGTAGTACTTGCAAAATATTCCACTGCATCGGTGTTATTGGCAACAAGCTCTAAAAGGGGGATTAAAGAAAAAGAAATTGTGCTCATGAGAACGTCAACACAAAACAAGGTTTGTTGTTTCTCATTAATATAGGTCAACATATCTCTAGTAACAATTGTTTTCACTTTAGAATAGTTACTGACTAAGTGGATGTGCTGGCAGTGGGGTTTTATCTGCCTCTAAATACCTATATGTGTATGGACACACAGGTTAACATGAAGGGGTGTTTACAGGCAAAAAAAACCAGACTAAAAGCAGTGATCTTAAAGCTGTGCATGAAGCCTAAGGGTACTGGCTACAGCTGCCTACGTTTTTTTGTTCAATTTTGTTCGATAAACCCTTTTTGGCAGGTGTAGTAGGTCAAGACAATACAGTGGACCTCAAGTGCGGTCTCTAGTTGAACCCATCTCATAGAGTTTGGGATTGTCTTCCGCACAATTAATTGACCAATTCTGGCGGTTGTGACGTGAATTTTAGCAACGGATCCTCTTTAGCATGTAAAGCAGCCATTCTCAACCAGGGTTCTGTGGAACCCTAGGGTTCCTCTAGAGGTTTCTAGGCGTTCCTGAAGCAGTGGATAATGGATCTCCCATCTGATGGTGCGCAGATTGTTCCAATTCTAAGGCCGCCTGGCAGAGCCAATGAGATGCATTAGCAGGGGTTCCCTAAGACCTGAAAATTCATTCAAGGGTTCCTCTAGGGGAAAAAGGTTGAGAAAGGCTGATAGACACTCATGTATTCACAGTATAATCTAAAAATTGCATGTTGTATAATGTTACAGTGCTACTTATATTGTTATTTGCCCAAGGGGAGTTTGTTGCCAGGCTATGGATATTCAAATATTTATACAGTAATACCTCGGTTTAAGAATTTAATTCGTTCTGCAGGACTTTTCTTATAGCAAAAAATTCCTAAACCGAAACGCAGTTTCCCATAAGAATGCATTGATAACCAATTAATCTGTTCCGGAGACAAAGTAAACACTAATAAATACCGCATGAGTTATTTGATCAAGTCATGCAGCATTTTAGTAGTGACAACCATGTGTTAATATTTCAGCTGTCAGCGGGGTTCCCAACTGACAGCTGAATGTAAAAGAATTGCCGGCAATTAAAAAAATAATTTAAAAAACTGCGTGGGGTCCCACTTCCCATCCATACCAAGCCCTTCGTGTCTGGTATGGATTTTTAGGGGAACTCCCACGCAAAAATTTTAAACAAAATGGTGTGGGGGTCCTCCCCAAAATCCATACCAGACCCTTTTCAGAGCATGCAGCCGGGCAGGTCAGGAAAGGGGGGCAAACAATGTTTCTTTTTAGTTTCTTAAAAGAAACAACATTTCCGTTAACTTTGGGGAAAGTGACAGCTAATTCTGTGAGCTATAGTGAAAAAAAAAAAAAAGAGCCAGCAATTGCATTTAAAAATCAGCACTGACATACACTTCGTATTGCGAAAAAAATTCATACACAATTTGTAAACCGAGGCATTATTTTCAGTGGATTTTCATTTGTAAACCGAAAATTACTTCAACCGAGGCGTTCTTAAACCGAGGTATTACTGTATATCCCTTAGCAGCTCTGCTCTCCCTTCCAGCAGTGACTTAGCAGCTCAGCTCACCCTGCTTTCCCTTTCCCTGAGCCGTGACTCAGAGAGAAAACTACACACAAAGTTTGGGATGGAGTTAAAGTGGAACAGTAGTTTGCCCAAGTAAGTTTACTTTAAAGCTAAATTCAAGGTATACATGTCTTTGCACACTTACATTGGCCCAGCCTGGACCATTGTAGTATGTATGTGTCATCCCTGTGGAAGCTGGAAACCACTGTAGTAGGCACCACTACTATAGTGATCACCGCTACATTCCGGTCCTGGATCTTCTCAAGGAATGCAAAGCATTCTCCGATTGGATGTGGTGGAGAGGGGGGTTGGTGACATCACAATCTCAAGTTCATCCAATCACAGTATGCTTTGCATTCATTGAGAAAATAGAAAGTGCTCTCTGAGTGGTACCTGTGCTGAGCGAGTGTCTTCCTGTGTTCACTAAGCGTCCTCCAATCTCACATCTATCTGAAATTCACACAAAGGCACACTCTTTTTGAGACCAATCAATCATAGGCTGGGCCCATCCACTGCCCACAGCACATGTCAGGGCACTGACATCATCAGCATCCCACCCCTTTGTTTATGTGTTCTGCAGGATAGTGAATGACCGAGCCGCAGCTGATTAGACTAAAAAAGAACACGACTTTGAAGTCTGAATAGAGGCGAAACTCATCTCTACATATTATAGATGCGTAAATATTTAAATGTCCATAGCCTGGTCATAGTAGTTCTACCAAAACAAGTTAGAGTATTAGGTCATGGAACCCCTATATTGATACAATTTAAAGGAGTTGGGCTGTGCCACGTGAAGTCAGGCGTTGTGCATATGCGCTTTGTTTGTGCGCTGTCGTGCTACACATATAGGACAGCCCATTATTTTCAATGGGCTGCCCTTCGCACGAAAAGCACACAAAAGGTAGCTCAATTACCTTTCTGAGCTTTGCACATTTTTTTTTAAATTGTGCATCTGCTTGGCACATTTGGGGACAAGGAATGACACCGTAAACACAACACACAAATTTTGCACATTTCCTGAATGCACGCAAAATTGTGTGATTTTGCTCATATCCACAAAATGCTGGAGTGGCTCATGCAAAACAAACAGAACGGAATTAGATTTGGTGTTATGTCAACAATGAATGTGAAGCTGTGTGGAGTGTAATCAGTGTTCATCCTACATGTGCATATATTACCCACCAGCCCATATGCCTCACATCTCAAACATGACAATTCTTAAAAACTGTTAGAAAAACCGGAGTTGAGTTGTCCATGAGGAAACCCCAAATTAGCCACTGGGTAATAGCCAGATCACTAAACCCTGCATATACATAATGGCTGTCAATTACGCTAGAGTGCGACAACAAGCACAGCTTGTGTTAATGAACCGCTGAGATTCTGACAAAGTTCCCGAGGCAGATGGCACATCACACGGCACTTTCAGGAGGGGTGGAAGCCAAGTCTGGTGCCGTGGTGCCATGAGACAGTTTGGAAACACTAGCTGCTAGCAGACTCCTCTCTCTCACCCAGTGCTTAAAGAGACTGTTACTTTGCCCATTCAGGAGAAAGCGACGGTCTCTTCAAAGCCGACCTGCCACCAGGGGCGGACTGACCATTTGGAAACTCGGGCACTGCCCAAGGGCCCGGGGTCAGTAGGGGGCCCCATGAGATGCCCCTGGTACCTTTTTTCATAGGCTTTTTTAAGTTTGGGCAAGGGCACAGGGGCCCCATGATCCCCTATTGCACGGGGGCCCCATGAGTTGTCAGTCCGCCCCTGCCTGCCACTCAACTTACTTTTCCCGCGAGCCCACTGCCACTGCATTCAACCCCTGTGTAAGCTCATATGGTGTAGGAACTTACACATGGTTGATGACATCGCCCTCCGCCTCACCGGCAGAATTCAGGACTGGCAACTGGCTACTAGACCCAAGCACGTCATCATGGGAGAAGGTCACCTGCTCCCATAAACAGTGAAATTCTGCGTACGCTTGACTGAGTAAAGAAATCTACAACGTTTTTTATATATATATATTTTTTTTATTTACTATAGATCAAAAAAATTTAAATATATATTTTCTTTTTTTTTCACCAGGTAAATTTTAAATACTGTATGTGAACATTTCTTATTCCTATTTCCAGGCAGCAGGTGGAGAAAAACACTTCTTTTCAAGTGATATACAGTATATTTTTTGCTCCTTTGTTATAAAAAAATAAAACAAAAAACAAAAAAAAAAAAGCATGTTGTTTACAGTGCTCAATAGCTTAAGTTACACACACAATGAGAATAAGTCAGAGACATGACAACTCCCTTGCCAGGCAGTTCAGTTGAAGGTATCAATGCTATTCAACCAGCCTGAATAGAAACGTTCTTTTTTTTAGATAACCAACAGTACTCTGGAAATCCTTGATCAGCAATAGCAGCTTGCATATTCAATCAATAAAGGTTCCAGCTAAAACTCTTTTTTTTGGATAGAGTGTGGAAGGATTGCAACCTCTGCAATAATTTCAATTCGTCACTTGGGACAGATACTGCCAATTCATGTTATATCACCAAGGTCAAGACACAAAGAGAGCCACAATGGGAGCTTAGGCAGCATAAAACTTGAGGGAGGTTCTAACCCTTCTTTGCTTCATCCATCTCCTCAAAAACAGTCCAGGATGAAGCATTGAGGCTGGGTTCACACTAATGCGGTGCGGTACATCGCATGTGATTCGCAGAGGAACCGCATCGCATTCTTGTGCAAATCACATGCGATTTGTGTGCGGTGTGGTTGGAGCCATACATTATGTATGGCTCAAATCACACTGCACCAAAAAGGTGCAGGACCCTTTTTTTGGTCCGCACTAGAATCAGATTGCATGGGCATTCACACCTATGCGATACGATTTTGCACATCACACCGCATTTTGTGGACCGATTTCGGGTTGTTGTCAACTTAACATACACACCCATATCGGTTCGGATGAACGGGGTGCAATTCTGATGCGGTGCGGAATTCGCACAGAAAACGTTGCTAATTCCGCACCGCATCAGTGTGAACCCAGAACAAGATTTTGGAGTGTTTGTGAGAATGTGGACTCATCTAGCCAAAAGAGCATTGCTGAGCTCAAGTACTGATGTTGGATGGGAAGACCTGGCTCATAATTGGTGCACCAATTCATCCCAAAAGTGGTCAGTAGAGTTAAGATCAGGGCTCTGAGCAGGCCACTTGGCATCCTCCACACCAAACTCCTAAAACCATATTTTTTTATGGAGCTGGCTCTGTAGATAGGGGTAAAGTCATGCTGGAACAGAAAATGTCCTTCCCTCAGAATACAAGGTTGGAAGCCCCCGATAACAACCTCCACTGTCCTGGAGAGGCTTTCCAAAGAATTCTGAAGTGTGTCTGTGGGAATGTGTTCCCATTTGAACAAGAGAGCATCTGTGAGGTTGGGTACCGATGTTAGATGAGAAGTACTTGCTCACAGAGGGGTGTTCAGCTCATCCCAACGGTGTTCAGTAGAGTTGAGGTCAGATCTCTGTGCAGGATACTTGAGTTCCTCCACCATAAAATCATCAAACCATGGCTGGCTTTGTAGACAGGGGGGCACAGTCATACTGGAACAGAAAAGGCCTTCCTCTAGCTATTGCCACAAGGACACACAATTATTTCACTACTTCCCGCCCACCCACAGTACATTTACTATGAGTGGGCAGCACGAGCAGACTGGATCACGTACATGTCATTCAGCCTGTTCCAGGTTAGGGGCACGCATGTGCGTGCCCACTGCTAACCCCCGCTATCACTGGCTACAGCAGGATTTTGTCACCAGGTCCTGGCCAATGATTTATGGCTGAGACCTGCTGATTGGCTGTAGCCAGTCACAGCACAGAGCCCTGTGTTTACAAACAACATAGGGTTTTGTACACAGATCACCGATTTGGCAGAGCAGGGAGAAAAACCGGCCAGATCTGTAAGTAAAAGCAGCACATAATACACTCAATGCACTTGTTAGGCACACAGTTAATCCTTTGATTGCCCCTTGAACCCTTTCCCAGCCAGTGTCATTTGTGCAGTGACAGTGTACAGCATTGGTACTGATCACTGTATCGATTTCACTATTGATGCCATTGTTAGTTAGCCAGTTAGTGTGCCTCCTAGTGCCAGATTGCCCGTTCACAGTCGTTGATCACCGCCATTACCAGTATAGTGTCAATGCTGTGTAAATTCCAGTATCTATACCATAGTGTATGGACGCTTTAACTTTCACACAAACCAATTAATATATTATTATTATTATTATTATACAGTATTTATAAAGCGCCAATAGTTCGCTCAGCGCTGTACATTACAAAGGGGGACAGAACATGTGACAGAACAATACCAATACAATGCAAAACATGAGGGGATCGAGGGCCCTGCTCTTTGGAGCTTACAATCTAGGAGGGAGGGGATAGTGGTACAGGAGGAGATAGCTGTGGGGGATGGAGTGGTAGGAAGAGTGGATGAGGTCGGCAAGTTAGCAGGGGGTGGGGTAGGCTTCCCTGAAGAGATAGGTTTTCAGGGTGCGCTTAAAGGAGTGGAGAGTAGGTGATAATCTGATGGGTTGGGGCAGGGAGTTCCAGAGGATGGGTGATGCCCTGGAGAAGTCCTGGAGGCGGGCATGGGAGGAGGAGACCAGGGAACTAGAGAGAAGGAGGTCTTGTGAGGAGCGGAGTGTGCGTGCTGGGCGGTACTTGGATATTAGGTCAGTGATGTAGTTCGGGGCAGTATGGTGGACGGCTTTGTACGTCAGTGTTAGGATTTTGAATTTGATCCGTTGCGCAATCGGAAGCCAGTGGAGGGATTGGCAGAGGGGGGGGTGGCGGAAACGGAGTGGTTGGAAAGGTGAATGAGTCTGGCAGCCGTATTCAGGATCGACTGAAGCGGGGATAGCCAGCGGCGAGGCAGGCCAGTAAGGAGGGAGTTGCAGTAGTCGAGTCGTGATATGATGAGGGAGTGGATGAGCTGTTTAGTGTTTAGGGATTTTCTTTTTACCAAAGACATGTAGCAGAATACATTTTAGCCTAAATTTATGAAGAAATTATATTTTTGATCTTTTGTTGGATATGTTTTATAACAGAAAATAGAAAATAGTGTTTCTTTTTGTTTTAAAAATTTCGGTCTTTTTTTATCTATAGAATAAAAAAACCATTTGTGATCAAATACCACCAAAAGAAAGCTCTATTTGTGTGAAAAACATTATATAAAATTTCATTTGGGTACAATGTTGCATGACCGAGCAAATGCCAGTTAAAACAGCACAGTGCTGAACAGAAAAAAACAGTCTGGTCATGAAGGGGGTAAAACCTTCTCGAGGTCAAGTGGTTAAAATGTCTTTGAATGTTGTATTAACACCTTTCACTGGAGACACCTGAACTCAACTGGTTTATTTTTAAAGAGTGATGGGCAAAGTAATTGACCGAATATGGCCATGTGACCCTATAAGACCACCCCATTGATATGCGCGGCAGCCCAACGGGGAACGCCCTGGCCACAGCTGATTGGGTGCTGATGTGGTGGGAGTGATAGCTTGTCCCGGGCTCAATCCAAACCTGAATTTGGGACCAAACATGTGCTCCTCCCTACTAACATGTCCTTTGAAAGAGGGGCCATATATACATACAGTTGTGCTCAAAAGTTTGCATACCCTGGCAAAAATTGTGAAATTGTGGCATTGATATTGAAAATATGACTGATCATGCCAAAAAATGCTCTTTTATTGAATGATGATGATCATATGAATCCATTTATTATCAAATAGATGTTTGGCTCCTTTTTAAATCATAATGATAACAGAAATCACCCAAATGGCCCGGATCAAACGTTTCCCCCCCCCTCCGGAATGTTTGGCCTTGGTACAGACACACAAGGTGACACACATGGGTTAAAATGCCAATTAGAGGTTAATGTCCCACATCTGTGGCTTTTTAAATTGCAATTAGTGTCAGTGTATAAATAGTCAATGAGTTGGTTGCTCTTACGTGGAAGCACTGACTAGGCTAGATACTGAGCCATGGGGATCAGAAAAGAACTGTCAAAAGTACTGCGTAACAAGGTAATGGAACTTTATAAAGATGGAAAAGGACATGAAAAGATTTCCAAAGCCTTGAATATGCCAATCAGTACTGTTAAATCACCTATTGAGAAGTGGAAAGTTCGGGGATCTCTTGATACCAAGCCAAGGTCAGGTAGATCAAGAAAGATTGCAGCCTTAACTGCCAAAAGAATTGTTTGGGATTCAAAGAAAAACCAATCGCTACCCAGACTTGTGGGGATATATCTGCATTACATTCTCCTGCAGTCATCTTGAGGTTTGCCATTACAGTAAATTACGAAAGATATTATGTCGTTTACAACCAGCCTAAAGAATTTGCTGCAAGAGGGAAAAAGCGTTTTTTTTTTTTCCTGACCTGGGGCAGCCAGACAGGAAACACAGAGTCATATCCAAGGCTACACATTATAGGACACAGGAGGACGCAGTAATTGGACGGCCTATTTTTCATTTTTTCTCTTAACATGACAGCGCTTACGAGTTGCCTCCAGCCTTGGAAGACCCCGGCTGTTTGAGTGTTTAGCGACCTTTAAAAGAAAACAGATTGGGCTCCCAAGCATGTTGCTGACCAGGGAAAAGACACAGCAATCCACAAAATGAAAAACAAACATAGTCTTAGGGCTAATTCACACCGTACCATCGCAAGTGCACTAAAAACGCATGTCATAAGCACGTCATAACACATCGCAATGCGCATTGAAAACCGCAAGTAACATGCAACTGAATTGCAGACGCACACGTGTGAATGGGCCTGTAAGGGATCGTTCACACTAGCTTTGGTCTGCGTTTGGGTCACTCTTGAGCCCTCATGCACACAGGACATTTTTACAGCGGCTGTTTTTGGCTTTTGATGATGTTTTTTTCTACAGCCAGTAGACCCCCCAACATGTTATCCTATGTGTCCATCCCCGGCATGTTATCCTACGTGTCCATCCCCAGCATGTTATCCTATGTGTCCATCCCCAGCATGTTATCCTATGTGTCCATCCCCAGCATGTTATCCTATGTGTCCATCCCCAGCATGTTATCCTATGTGTCCATCCCTGGCATGTTATCCTATGTGTCCATCCCCGGCATGTTATCCTATGTGTCCATCCCCGGCATGTTATCCTATGTGTCCATCCCCAGCATGTTATCCTATGTGTCCATCCCCAGCATGTTATCCTACGTGTCCATCCCCGGCATGTTATCCTATGTGTCCATCCCCAGCATGTTATCCTACGTGTCCATCCCCGGCATGTTATCCTATGTGTCCATCCCCGGCATTTTATCCTATATGTCCATCCCCGGCATGTTATCCTATGTGTCCATCCCCGGCATGTTGTCCTACGTGTCCATCCCCGGCATGTTATCCTATGTGTCCATCCCCGGCATGTTATCCTATGTGTCCATCCCCAGCATGTTATCCTATGTGTCCATGTACACATAGGCTGTAATAAACGTTTTTTGGCTGGGACTTTTTTTGGCTGGAAAAAAAACCCAGGACTAGTGGGTTAGTAGAGGAGTTTTTTAGCTTGAAAAATGCTCTAATGCTGAAAAAAAACGTGGTAAAACACCAAACTGGCATTTTTGGATGTTTTTTTGACCAATAAAAAACGCAAATGCAGAAAAACACAAGTAAACGAGAAAAATTGTGGGAAAACGCCGCTAAAAGCTAATGCAAAAACGCTCTAAACAAAAGCTGAAAACTCACGTTTTTAATGTGACTTTACAAAGCTAACGTTACCAGCGTTATCAAAACATCCTGTGTACATGAGGACTTAGAAAGCATTTGACAGACAGTGAGTAAGCGTTGTGTCAACTTCTCATCACCTGCTCTAATCCCTTGAACCCGCACTAGTGCACTGCAGCCGGTTCCATTGCATGCAGTTGCAAGGCGCTTGCACTACGGCATCATTCACTTAAAAGGGTCGCACTCAGTGGCCCGTGGGATGTGTACACCCCCAGCTGCTGCCTCTAGAGGTAAAAGGGGAGCAGTTGGGGGGGGCCATAAAAATGTGGGGTTTAATGCCCCTCAAACATTAGCGTGAATGAGCCCTAAGTGTATGTGTTACAGAGCATTAACATTCATTTTGAATGGCTCCCCAAAGTACCAGGCCTTCGGGGTACCACCCAAACGCATACATTGTGGTGCGCTACGAATGTAGCGAGGTCCAATTTTCATACATTGAGGCTTGCTGATCGCCCATTTTCATCTATACTTTGCGGGAACACCTAATATGAGGATATGCACATGACATGCATTGACGTGTTTCTGTGCCATTCATTTTGAATTGCACCCCAACACACATAGTCTGCAGCATGCTGCAATGCATGGTGATGCACCATAATGCTTTGGGGTGCCAGCATTAAAAGTTTTGTGGCATGTCCATTTTTTGAGCCATTTTGATTCCAAAACATAGGCAGCACAGTGGATAAATGGTTAGCACTTCCGCCTGGCAGTACTAGGGTCATTGATTCAAATCCCAACCACGCCACCACCTGCCTGGAGTTTGTATGTTCTCCCTGTGCCTGTGTGGGTTTCCTTCGGGTACTCCGGTTTCCTCCCACACTCCAAAGACATGCTGGTAGGTTCATTGGATCCTGTCTAAATTGGCCCTAGTATGTGTATGTATGAATGTGAGTTAGGGACCTTAGATTGTACACCCCTTGAGGGTTAGGGACTGATGTGAATGTACAATATATATGTAAAGTGCTGTGTAAACTGATGAGATTGGAGTCCTACATTTCGTATGGCTCTATTCGCATCGCACCAAAAACGTGCAGGACCCTTTATTTTGTCCACACTAGAATCAGGTCACATAGGTATTCACACCCATGCGATCCGATTCTGCACATCGCACCGCGCTTTGCAGACCGCTTTCGGTGTGTTGTTAACTTAACATACACACCCACAGCGGTTCGCATGAACAGGGTGCAATTCTGATGCAGTATGGAATTCGCACACAAAACGCTGCAAATTCCATACCGCATCAGTGTGAACCAGGGCTGACATGCTTGTTGAGCATTTTGCTGTGCGTGAAAACGCATGTTTGCTGGCAGCATTTGGGATGCAGCGCCGCATGGTATTCCCGAGTGTAGCTCGAGGTTACCGCTTGTGGTACTGAAACTTTACCCCGAGCTACACTCAGGAATACCTCCAGGGAGGTTAAACAAAAAAAGCGCCATCCTGCTCCTTCACATTTTCTCACCATTGCAGTTGAAAATGCGTGTCACAAATGAGAAGAAAATGACTGAATTTACATTCGTAAAACCAAAAATTCTGAACAAAATGTTACTAGTGTATGACCAGCTTTAGGTGCAATGCACTGCAAAGGATGAATGGATGCTGGCCCTTTAAAGCACAGGCCGACCCTTCCCTGCAGATTTGGACTGTACGGTGTATATGGAGGTTTGATGAGTCTTCAAGCTGGTCCTGGTCTATAGCAGTGAGGCTGGTGCATCCTGTCCTCCTGCTTCCTGAGGCCGGATAGGATTCCAGCAGTGTGTTTCCGCAGATCCCCTGAACATGGGACTGTGACCTTATCTGCAGGAAAACCTCTACAGATAAAGCAGGCTTGGGGTGTGGAGGCTCGGATGGTCAGGGGAAGGCGATGGAGGAACTACATGGTGTTTGGTGTGTTCCTAAACCACGGACCAGTCAATAAAAATTCCAAAGCAATTCACACCCTCAAACGGCACATGTACAGTACACGCCGAATGATTTTAAAAGCTTTACTGCGCAAAAGAATCGGGCTACTGTCTGCAGCAACCAATCAGGGAGGGGGGCTATCCTTCTCACTCTACCTGCGTTGCACAGTTATGCAGGCCATAGACGGGTCGAAAATCAGCCATTTAAAAATAAATAAATAAATAAATAAAAAACGGTCATTCAATCGGCCGACAATACCACCAACGGTAAAAGAATCGGCCGATTTTCGTCCCGTCTACGGCCACCACTTCTGTCCCTGCAGAGACCTCCACTATTGTATTTTACATGAAAAAGTCTTGCGCTTGCAACAATGTATCCATTTGTATCCATTTCGGATACAGATGTTTTTATTCGGATACAAATAGATACATTGTTGCAACCGCAAGACTTTGCATATAAAATATAATAGTGGACGGAATTCTTCTTTTTCTTCTTCTTCATTTTCTCCTTTTTCTTCTCCTTTTTTTTCTTCTTCTTCATTTTTCTTCTTCTTTTTCTCCTTCTTTTTCTTCTTCATTTTCTTCTTCTTTTTCTTCTTCTTCATTTTCTTCTTTTTCTCCTTCTTCTTTTTCTTCTTTTCCTTTTCTTCTTCTTTTTCCTCTTCTTCTTTTTGCAGGTCACAGCTCATGCGCAGATTTTTTACCGGTAAAACGATCGGCCGATTTGCCCATCATTGCCGAGAAAATGCGATCGTCAAAATCGGTTGCAAATTTTCCAACTTTACCGATAAAAAAAAGTGCCAAACCCCGAAAAACAGGCAACCAATTAACCCACTAACGGTGTGAAAATTGGCCGATTTTTTTTTCGGCCGAAATATCGGACGATTTTCGACCCAGCTATGGCCTGCATTAGTCTGGCTGAAAAAAGACAAAAGTCCATCAAGTTCAACCATAAAAAAAAAAAAAAAAGTTATAATCCTACACCCACAGTTGATCCAGAGGAAGGCAAAAAGCCCAGCAAAGCATGATCCAATTTGCTCCTGCTGGGGAAAAAATTCCTTCCTGATCCCCGCATGTGCAAAAAAATGCATGTGCACATGCAAAAAAAACGCATGTGCAAAAACACAAAAACGCACCGCATCAAACGCAAACTGCATAGGTGTGAACCAGGGGCGGACTGACTATTTCGGAACTCGGGCACTGCCTGAGGGCCTGGGGTCAGTAGAGGGCCCCATGAGATGCCCCTGGTACTTTTCATAGGCTTTTTTGGGTGTGGTTTGAGTGTGGGCGAGGACACAGGGGCCCCATGATCCCCTATTGCCCAGGGGCCCCATGAGTTGCCAGTCTGCCCCTGGTGTGAACCTTGCCTTAAATATATTCCTTGAGGTTTAGGGACTGACGTGAATGTACAATATACAGTTAGGTCCATATATTTGGACACAGGCACAATTATAGATTTTTGTACCATGTACCTGGAATAATGAAGGAGTAGCCCACACCTGGTCATGAAACAGCTTTTGATTTTCCAATTACTTTTGATCCCTTGAAAAAAGGAGCTGGATATTCTTAAGAGCTGTAATTCCTAAACCCTTCCTCCAATTTGGATGTACATACCCTCAAATTAATCCTGAGAGTGTGCACTTTCAGCCCATATCCATTATATAACTATAGCTTGAATATATTTTGTTAAATACCTGAAAAAATCTAAAATTGTGCCCGTGTCCAAACATATAAGGACCTCACTGTATATGTAAAGCGCTGTGTAAATTGACAGCGCTATATAAGTACCTCTAATAAATAATAATAATAAATTCCTGAATAGCCACAAAGGATATAAATCTTCTTTGTGTGCACCAAATGCAAACCAGTTATTACAATGTAAAGTAGTGGTGATACAATCACTAACCTGATCAATCACTGATTGGTAGAAATTATATTTCTACATGGCAAATAATTTACTAGCAGGTGTAGCAGAGTAATAGAAATCCAACAGACCCAACAGTCATGACATGCATGCTGCTGATTCTGTGTAATTAAATCACTAATTGAAAGGGGCATGTTCAAAATAATAGCAGTGTGGAGTTCTATTAGTGAGGTCATTCATTCTTTGAAAAACAGGTGGCAATTATTGCCCTTATTTAAGGAAGGAAGGCAGCAAATGTTGTACATGCTGGTTACAGTGCATTTCTCTCTGAAATTCTGAGGAAAATGGGTCGTTCTAGACATTGTTCAGAAGAACAGCGTACCTTGATTAAAAAGTTGATTAGAGAGGGGAAAACCTATAAAGAAGTGCAAAAAATGATAGGCTGCTCAGCTAAAATGATCGCAAATGCTTTCAAATGGCAACCAAAACCTGAAAGACGTGGAAGAAAGCGAAAAACTACCATTCAAATGGATAGAATAGCCAAAATGGCAAGGCCAACAATCAGCTCCAGGAAGATCAAGGAAGGTGTAAAGTTCCCTGTGAGGACTGTTACAATTAGAAGACGCCTATGTGAAGCCAAGCTATCTGCAAGAAGCCCCCGCAAAGTCCCACTGTTGGAAAAAAAAGACGTGCTGAAGAGGTTACAATTTGCCAAAGAGCACACTGACTGGCCTAAAGAGAAATGGCGCAACATTTTGTGGACTGATGAAAGTAAGATTGTTCTTTTTGGGTCTAGTGGCCGGAGACAGTTTGTCAGACGACCCCCAAACACTGAATTCAAGCCACAGTACACTGTGAAGACAGTGAAGCATGGTGGTGCAAGCATCATGATATGGGGATGTTTCTC